ATGTGCAGGGTAACTAGATACAGAGTTACATTAGAAGCAAGCATGAATGCAGGGTAACTAGATACAGAGTTACATTAGAAGCAAGCATGAATGATCAATATTAGAGATGATGATGTAATGAATAAATGAATAAAGATCCTGAACTCACCAATTCCCAGCTCTGAAGTTGTGTTCCACTGTTGAAATCAGAGAAGGACTCAGTGTGTTCTAGAAAGGTACAAGAGGAAAATATTATTAAATTTCTTATTGGACTAAAACTGAAAGATATGAATAAAAAAGTTATTGCCTTCTCCTTTACTTATTAAATATGATGCAGTAAAGGAGGGAATTGATCAGTAAACTTAAAACTGTAGCATTTTAGTTCTACATAAAAAGGAGTCCTAAAGACGAACGTTGTGGTTCTGAGCACTTGTTCTTGCAGAAGACCTGAGTTCAGTTCTGAGCAAAGACATGGATGGCAGTAACTCACAGCTGTCCTTAACTTCAGTGCCAGGCAATCAGAGCCCTCTTATGACCTTCAAGAGCACCAGTCCTGCATGTGGTACATGTATATACATACACATAACACAAACCAATCTAAATAAACAATCTTATAGAGTGCTCTCTGTATAAGATAAATATACACATGTACATAATGTACATATTACTGTCAGAAGCCATAATAGGACAAGCTAATAATTAGCAGTTGATCATCCTGAAATGCTTGCCTCGGATTATTATCTGCGACAAGTGTGCCACATTCAGCAAGGCTATGTTGGACATATTTTAGGAAAGATCCTGCTATTAATATGCTTTTCCTATTATTATTAAACATATATAAGAATCACTAAGCAATAGCACTCCCCTTTGGAGCAGATCTCTGCAGACCCACAAAGATGTACTGTCTTGTTGTGTTGCTATATAGACAAATAGACAACTTCTTAAGTCTTAATGATGATCCTATAAGAATTCCTAAAATTATATCAATGATTATTAAGCTCTTTTATAATGGGACTGGTATTATGTCCCTTTCTGATAGTCAAAACTGCTATGAGAACTCTGCCAGTCTCCCAAGTGTCATCAGTTAACAGCACTTAGATAGTAACCAGACTCTCTCCTGCTCAGAGCACATTCCAAGGCGGTTGTAAAACAATTAACCAAAGTTCACTAAAAGGGAACTCACGGTTTATTATAGGTGCTAGGACAGAAGAGAAAATATTGCCTGGGTTTATCTATACAAAACTTCACTAATTTCTTAGTTATAGTTTTAAACCTTCAATGAACCTGTGGAGCTAGACAAGTGATGGATATTTAGTCAGATAATTACTCCTAATGGATATGCATGTAAACATTCTCTGTTGTAAACTTCGATTTCAATTTATGATTTGAATTTTCGTGTGAAATTGTAATGAACTTTGTAACATGTGATCAGGTACTCCGAATGATGTATAAGACAAAGGGACGTTCGTTATTGACTCGCCTCCTCATCTCACTTCACTTCTTTCTCTCTCTCACTTTCTCTCTC